GAGAAGTGGCACACCGTGGAGAGCCTTGAACGTGCCCCCTCTTTGTGCCCAGAAGGAACCAGGACGGCTGTCTGCACCAGGGGACTGACCTTATAGGTAGTGAGCTCCCCATCACTGGCATGTCCAAGCACACAGGTGCCATTCAGTTTATCCTGCTGACACTTAGCACCTACGCAGTCTGACCATCCACCGGGGGCAGGCGTGTTATGGAGACTTGGATCTCTCCTCAACCCACAGTAGAGACAGGATGACCAAGCCTGAGGTCCAGGGTAGAGCAAGTCTGGGCGTAGGGGGTGAGCAAATTCTGCTGGGCACCAGGAAGCCTTCAGAGACGAGGAGTGTTGGAGACACAACCACGTAAGGTCAGGGGTGGTGTGTTAAGCAGACACACCCAGGGAACCACTTCTCGTTGCCATGATTGGGCTTGAAGCGTCCTCACTGAGAGAAGCCAGATCACAGAAGAGCAGGGCAAGGCCTTGGATCCATGCTTATCAGGCATCGAATCTCTCTTCTTCCTGTTTTATAGCATTAGGCATATCCCTTCTCCTCCCTAGGCCTCCATTTTCTCATCTGAGCATCTGTCTGGTAGGAATACTGCCCCCAGGGTGGAGCTCTGGTGCAGATCTGTGAGGACAGACCCTGAGCGCCCCGGCTGGCAGCGAGGACTGGCCTCTATGTCCAGGCTGCCAGCCCTGCGCAGCCAACCCTGATGCTCGGCCCTGGTGGGGGCGTGGGGCCGTGGGACTCCCACACCGGGGCCTGTCCGTGCATGGAGCAGTTCCATGGGAGAGAAGGACAAGGGCTGTGTGTGCCTCCAGCGCTCCAGGAGGGCTTCCTGGAGGGCGCAGTCTGCACTTCCTTCTGCTGATAAGACCTGAGCACCTGCCACGGGCCAGAGCCAGAGCTCAGGTTGTCCGACTCCCAGGTGTAGGCTCCCTCTTTGCCGTGCGGGGCCTCTCATCACAGAGTTTTGTGAGTCCTGCGCGGGCCAAGGAACAACGTGTGCCAGGCTGCCCACCCTCAGGAGGGCCGGGGGGTTAAGTAGTTCCCATAGTGCTGTGCTCCAGGTCAACCCATCCTGCCCTAGGCCCGTGGGTAGCCATCTCGCAGACCCAGCTCCTCCAGCTGGTCGCTCCAGCCTTCACTGTGAGTGCCATCTGGGGGCCTGAGCCCCGGGGTGTGAGGGGTATGAAGTGGGCATCAGGCCCCTCATCCAGCCCCTAGAGAAGTTGGTAATGCCCACAGGCTGCCCAAAGGGATTCTGAGACTACGGTTTCCTGTCCAGCTTGAGGGAGGCCTGTGTTTGGACCACAGTGGAAAACGGGTACAGAGGGGGCAGCCCCCTCTTCCCTCCTGCTTAATCTCAGGGCTTTGTCGTTTGGGAGTGGGGAAAAGAAATGTTTACACGGCCTTGCATTTGTTTCAAATTATTCATCAGTGTTTGAGAGTCATTGTTCCCGGCTAGTGTAAACAACGCTGTCCCTCGGCCAGCTCACTGAAGTTCTGTCAATGTGCAGCGTCTACAGCCCTCTGGCTCCTGGCTCCCAGGGAAGTGGGGAGAGGGGCCAGGTCGGATGGGTGGCACCGGCAAGCTCCTTCATGGTGGGGTCCGAGTAGCGTTTTCACACCATGAATTCTCGAGGGCCTGTATCTGTTTCAGTTTTTTTTTTTTTTTACCAATGGTACCTTTGCTAGAGCTGGGGAAGCCGAGGCACGGAGCAAAGACTCTGAGAACCACGGGAAGAGCAGCAAAGAACATGATTTGAAGGGGGTCTGGACTGGGTCCCAGAGCAGATGTCATCATTACACGCGCATCAGCGCCAGTGCCTCTCTGGGGCGTTCCCGGGAGGGGGACGGGACCAACCCCAGGTGTGCCGGGGCACTCCGTGCGGGACTCGTGGCAGGCTGGCTCTGGCTCTGCATTTGCGTCGGGGCTTCACAGACACGTTCAAGGTGACACCCAGCTCAAGCTCACGTTAGGAGGAGCTGGTTCTTTGTAGCATTAGCCTGAGTGTGCTTGCTGGCACGGCCAGCTTCGTGGTGGGCAAAGGCATGAGCTCAGGAGGCGGACAGCAGGTTTAAGTCCTGCCTTCGCTCCGAGCAGCTGTGTGACTTGGCTCAAGTGACTTCGGTCGTCTGTGCCTTGGTGTCCTCCTCTATACAATGGAGGCGTCCCACAGCCTGTCACTCAGGGCTGCTACAAGGGTGCAGTGAGTTGCTATTTGGGAGGCCCCATGCCTGACACATAATGAACACTCGAGGGACGTTAACTCCACGTTGTTATTGGTAGGATGAACAAGACTTGGCGCCTGGCTTAGAGCCCGTTCATGGTCTAGTGCAGGCAGGGGAGGGATGCCCGGAAGCAGACACTGCAGAGGGGAGGGGAGATGCCCCCAGCAAGGGTGACATTAGCCCTGGGCCCTGAGGGAGCCACCACTAAGTAAGACTCTGTTGAGTGGAGAAAGGTCTTCAAAATAATCCCTCTCTGGCCTTCCCAGCTCCCCTGGGACCCCACTCTGTCTCTTCTCAGCAAGAGCCACCTTTCCCATTTTAACTGTAACGGTTGGTGGCTTTTAGAGTTCAGATCTCTGTCCCCCTCCCGGCCGCCACACAGCTGACATTTGAGCTTGCTGGAGATAATGGCCTGCCTCGGCGCTGGCCTCAGAAGCAGCTATGTGGTCTCTTGGGTGGTGAAGTGGGCCATTGTCCCTAAGCCTCAGTAGGACCCAGCTGACGTCGTTCCAGAGCTGAGTCCTCTCCTGGTTCAGTGCAGGTCAGTCCACCTGGTTCTTGACATTTTCACATCCTTCAGGTTCCAGTACTGAAAGATGGCTGCGTTAAAAAGAACAGCATAAAAAGCTTAGTGCCAAAGTGTGTGTGTGTGTGTGTGTGTGTGTGTGTCTGTGTGTGTGTGTGTGTGTGTGTTGTGGGTCAGCGGATTGGCTAGAAGCAGCCAGTAGCTCACCTTGCCTTTTGGTTTCATGTTTTTGCCTATCAAAGTGACAATGCAGACATGGCACATTAAGGTTTAAGAAGCCCTTCTTTCATTAAACAAACTGACAGCGTAGGGGGTTATGACTTCGGTAATTGAAACATGCTGTTCTGTTCAAGACCAGAACTCCATAAAGCCTCTTTTCAGCCAATAGCACCCTTTGTGCCAGCAGCCTCTGGTCAAAACTGAGTGTCGGCCCTGAGGTCTGTCTCTCCCAGAGAGTGGGAAGACCACTTAGCGACCTTCTGCAGCTGTCTTGGCAGCCGGAGGTTAGGGCCTTTTAAAAACTTCCCCATTCTCTAGACTTTTGAAATCAGTTTGCAAGGCAGAAGGCAGGCCGCCCTGTCCTCTAGCCTCTCCGGGGCTGCCAAGTCTTGTGTTACTGGTTATAAATCTGAGGTGTGATTGAAGAAAGAGGGGACATTAGAGTTTGGTTGGCGAGGCTCTGTGTATTGGGGGGAGACAGTGCAGCTCGCACAATCTTCCTAGAGAGGGAAAATCCAGCAGTATCCGTGAGATCACAATTTGGGAATCACACTACCAGGTGGGAACTCAGACAGGTGACTTTGCCCCTCTGGACCTCAGTTTCCTCATCTCTAAAATGGGCTAATACCTGGATCTGATTTACAGGGTTGCTGTGGGGATTAAAGGAGTTGGTACAGGTCAGACACCTAGAGTGGTGCGGGTCGCACCGGATCTGAGGGGCAGCTAGCATTACAACCGTTGTAACTATCTACCTCTACGGAGTAACTCTGTGGGGTACTGTTGTGGAGTACCATGTAGAGTATGTCCAGGGAGCACTACCGTAGAGTACCACCGTGGAGTTACCACTATGGAATATCACCATAGTACAGCTCTGTGTGGTGTTGCTGTGGAGTACCACATGGAGTACCTTTGTGGAGTATCACTGTAGTATCGCTCTGTGCAATACCACCATGGAGTACTACCAAGGAGTACCTCTGTGGAGTATCACTGTCGCGTAGTTCTGTGCAGTACTGCTGTGGAGTATCACATGGAGTATCATGGTAGTATGGCCCTTTATGGTGCCACCATGCAGTACCACATTCAGTAGGTCTGCGAAGTATCACCATAGTATTGCTCTGTGCAGTGTCACCATGGAGTACCACATGGAGTACATCTGTGGAGTATCACCATAGGATAGCTCTCTAAAGCATCACATGGAGGGGCGCCTGGGCGGTTCAGTTGGTTAAGCATCTGCCTTCGGCTCAGGTCATGATCCCGGGGTCCTGGGATCGAGCCCCGCGTCGGGCTCTCTGCTCCGCGGGAAGCCTGCTTCTCCCTCTCCCACTCGCCTTGCTTGTGTTCCCTCTCTCGCTGTCTCTCTCTCTCTGTCAAAATAAATAAAATCTTTAAAGTACCACATGGAGTACATCTGTGGAGTATAACTAGTATCATTCTATGCCATACCATAGGGTACTGCCAAGGAGTACCTCTGTGGAGTGTCACTATCGTGTAGTACTATGGAGTACCACATGGAGTATATCTGTGGAATATCACTGTAGTATAGCTCTGTGCAGTACCACTATGCAGTACCATCATGGAGTACCTCTGTGGAGTGTCACTGTACGATGTAGCTCTGTGGAGTACCACATGGGGTACATCTATGGAGTATCCATAGTTCACTCTGTGCAGCATTACCATGGAGTACCACATGTAGTACATCTGAGTACTGCTGTAGTAACATTCTGTGCAGTACCACATGGAGTACTTCTGTGGAGTATCACCGCAGTGC